TTTTTGAAACAAACCACGGAAATTTTATTTCTGTTTTAACAGAATTAATTGAAATTTTCAAGCTTGAAAATTGAAACGTTTGCAAATATGTATATTTTTTAATTAATATACTTGTAACCTTTCACACATGCAAATGTACAAATTTTCAAACTTGTAAATTTATAAACATGTAAACTTACAATCCATGAGTCTCGAAATTTGAAAATAAGAAATTGTTGAAATAAATTTCTAAAAAAGTCGAATATCCAAATATGAAATTACCTAAATTCTTCAGCATTAATATCTATCAACAAAATATTTCCTTTAATTTATTAGAATATAATATACATATAACACATTAGATGTGTAAAATACATATGTATATGAAAATACTAAGTATAACATATTATAAGTAATAACATTTTAATTTGAGAAAGTATAACAGACGTGCGAAGAGCGCAACAAAACACGAGGAATAAATAAGCGAAATGAAATGCGAAAACGTCGAAACAAAATTGTCGAGTAAACGTTGACGCGAGCGCGGTTCGCGTTGAGAAAGAGTGCGAAAAAAGTTAGCAGGAAAACGTCGTGGTCCACGAGAAATTGCTTAACACGATTTACCTGTCGAGCAAGATTTGCCGAAAGCTAATGTGACACGTGAAAACTGACGTTAGCCGTGAAACGTACATGCAATAACGGATCACGTTTGAGTCTTATCTGTTTCAGCATCAACGATAAAGGGAATCGAACTTTATTGAAAATACGTATACGTCTGAATTGTCTACTCAAGTTTACATTGAACGATTGCCGATTTCTTTGTTGTAGGATCGTGATCGTTGTGGGAGAATATTGCAACGAATTTTGAAATTTAATATACTTTTGTGTTGAATTGTTTAGGGGATGGTATGGAAAATAAAATTTAATTATATTGTGTTACTTTATTGTTTTAATGTTTTACTACATTACTATTTTGCTGTTTTACAATTTTACTATTTTACTATTTTACTATTTTACTATTTTGCTATTTTACTATTTTACTATTTTGCTGTTTTACTGTTTTACTATTTTACTATTTTACTATTTTGCTATTTTGCTATTTTAGTATTTTACTATTTTACTGTTTTACTATTTTACTATTTTACTATTTTATTATTTTACTATTTTACTATTTTACTATTTTACTATTTTACTATTTTACTATATTACCATTTCACCATTTCACCATTTCATCATTTTACCATTTTACATATATTTCAAGAAAGGCCAATACAGATACAATTGATCCATTTGTTAGTTTCAGTGTCAATACATAAAATATTGTATGCTCAAATTAAAATTGATCATTTAGTTCATTCAGCTTCATGTTTAATTATTTTTCAACCGTCATATTGTACATGTTGCCTAAGAATATTCATATGGTATATTGAATTTAATGTTTTTCATAGAGCATATTCAACATAAGAAGAATCATATAGTATATTCGGCATATTTTTTATCATATAGCACGTTCAACTTAAGAATAATCATAAAGTACATTCATTTCAATATTTCGCATACTGTACATTCATTATATGTACGTTAATTTTTGCATTAAAATGATAGGATACTAAATTAAGTAGAACATGCAGACTCATTCGACAGATTAGCATAAAATGTATTTTATTTTCAAGAATATTTTACGTATAGCCTTTTTCATGCCGAACGGCCCTCTACAGGTGCACTCAGCAAAATTTCATTTCGTTTTTTTAAAAACAGAGTTCCATCTACGATGACAATTTATTCTAAATTCTCGTACTCGTCTGTACCACGATTTTCGAGCACAATTTCCGTCCGGACCGAAAAAAAAAAAAAAAAAAAAAAATGAAAAACGAAACCCCGACAAAAATAAATGACGTCTCTAACACGGTAAAAAAAAGTTCGTGTAAAGAAAGGAAGTTGCTTTCGAAAAATTTTCCCCCGTTAAAATAAAAGTTTCCGCGCTGAATCGAGATTTTATACAAATTGCGGGGCTGAGTATTTAAATTCGACCGTCGACTACGTACAATCGTCCCGTGTAATTTTACCGATTTAACGAGGAGACACACTCGACCGGTCATTTTCATTTCGGTGATACATTCCACGGCAAACTGACACAAAAATCGTCCCTAACAATTTGGGACAATTTGACCGACGACAAAAAGCCCATGACGATTCCATTTCCCATTCGATTCGCGACACAGAATTTCGGGGAATTTTACACCTGTGGGGATGTGGAAGTGTGGGTGTAATTATATCGTTGATCTTCTGTCATAGGAATCGTAACATGAATCAAGAGATTCGTAATTTTAGAAATACATGTTTTATTCTTCTACATGTGTCAGAATATGTATACATGTGCAGAAATCGTAACAGTACTGAAGGGATTCACACATATGTAATTTTGGAAAGACATGTGGGATATTCCTATTGTATGTGAGAATATACCTATAGAAATAGCAACTGTGAGGGGATTTCATATTCAATTTTAGAAATACATATTTTATATTTCTGCATATGTGAGAATATTCATATACAAAAATCGTAACAGTACTGAAGGGATTCACATATATGTAATTTTGAAAACACATATGTGATATTCCTATTGTATGTGAGAATATATCTATAGAAGTTGTAACAGGGAAGAGATTCATATTTAATTTTAGAAATACATGTTTCATATTTTTACATATGTGAGAATATAAATATGTAGGAATGGTAACGGTCTGAAAGAATACACACATATGTAATTTTAGAAACACATGTATGATATTCCTATTGCATGTAAGAATATACATACTTATAGAAGTTGTAACAGGGGTGGGATTCATATTTAATTTTAGAAATACATGTTTTATATTTCTACATATGTGAGAATACACATATGCAGATATCGTAACAGTACTGAAGGACTTCTCACATATGTAATTTCAGAAACACATGTGTGATATTCCTGTTGTATGTGAGAGTATACTTGCACATAATATGTAACAGTACTGAAAGGATTCATATGGCATTTTAGAAATACATGTTATATACTTCTACACATGTGTAAATATACATATGCAGAAATCGTAACAGTATTGAAAGATTCACATGTAATTTTGGAAGCACATATTTTATATTCCTATAAATGTAAATAGAATAACTCTAATTACTAAATGGCCAAATATTTGCACAATATTTTATTTTATATATCATTAATAATTCTATACATTCGACACAAATATTTTTAACGAGACAAATTCTTAATAACGTATTAGCTTCACATGGAAAGCCAAACGTGATGCATATATGGATAGTCAAAGTGTCGAATATAAGTGGTCATTAAATGTCCGTAAATCCAGAGTGAAGCTGAAGCAAAATGGCGGTGAAGCGTTCGTTCAACATCGCCGATGTCCGTCCAGGCAAACATCGTAATGCAGCTCTCAAGTTGGCAGACTCGGTAGAAGCTTTGATGGCGTAGAAGGGTCCCGTGAGTCCGTTAACGAACTACGTTCTCCCTTAATTTTATCACGGTTACCCACACTCCATCTAAGATCTGTTTGCTCCCGAAGAAACCGGCGGGATAAGACCCGGAGAATTATGAAGAGATTGCTCGAACTGGCATGGTCGAAGGGAGAGCATCCTTCGTTGGAGAGCAGTCTAATTACAGCAACGAACAGGAGAAGAAACGAGCAACGAAAGGTTAGCAAAGTCCTTTAGCTTCCGCGAAAAGGGAGGAACCTTGGACTAGGCTTCCCCTTCGTTGCTGAAAACGAAATGGTCGAAAAAGGAACAGGACAAGCGACGGATAACGACCATCGACGCCATCCTGTGAACTCGTAATGGACCACTCGACGCCATTCTCCGCGAGAATAGCCTCTCTTGTCTAAATAGTAAAGTTTATGGCAGCTTCGAGGGTGATCTCGAAGAGATGCTACAAGATGGACGAACTGTAAGCCTTGTAAAGGTTTACAAGATTACTGAACTATCGTGTTTTATACTTGTTATGTATAATTATTTCATAGAAAATGTTTTGGATCGCAAGGGTACTTACTCTTGCAAGGGTCAATACCCGCTCAAATGATCAACACTCGTTCAAACAAGGATACCTTCATGTTAAGGAGACTGAAGGGCAGATCTTATTTTTGAAGAGTTCTTTTTCCCACATTCCCACATCCCCACATTCCAATGTCCCCACATCTCCGAATCTCCATATCCACAAAATCCCACATTCCCAAATTCTCAAATCTTCACATCTCCAAATCCCCAAATTTTCAAATCCGCATATCCCTAAATCCTCACATCCCCAAATTCTCGCATCCCCAGATCCTCACATCCCCAAATCCTCATATCCTCAAATCCCCACATCACCAAATCCTCACATCTCCAAATCCTCACATCCCCAAATCCCCACATTACCAAATCCTCACATCTCCAAATCCTCACATCTCCAAATCCCCACATCACCAAATCCTCATATCTCCAAATCCTCACATGCCCAAATTCTCACATTCCTAAATTCTCACATCCCCAAATCCTCATATCCCCAAATTCTCACATCTCCAAATTCTCACATCCCCAAATGCTCACATCCGCAAATCCTCACATCCCCAAATACTCACATCCTCAAACCTTCACATCCCCAAATCCTCACATCCCCAAATCCTCACATCCCCAAATCCTCGCATCCACAAATCCTCGCACTCCCAAATCCCCACATCCCTAAATCCTTGCATCCTTAAATCTCCACGTTCCTAAAATTCCCACATCACCACATCCCCTCTTCCCCAAATTACCTAATCCTTCATCGATGCCCTCGTCCGCCCTCCGCAACCTCTCGAGCACATTTGCCCACCGACGTGATAAGAAGTACCTCACCGAGAGACACTCCGTTAATTCACCGTCAAAGCGAGTTGACCGCGCTTTAATCTAAAACTGAAATGGGATTTCCGGCGCTTTTAAGCCGACGCCGCGCCTGTAACTTTTCGAAAAGTCCTTATGAACTTTGTTGCTTGTTGCAGTTGTCCGCCATCGTCGATGGGATTTACACGGAACACGGGCACACTGCGGGCTCGTTCACGCATTTGGCGAGCGATCGTCTGGTGGTGGGCGGAGGAGCCGAGGCCAAATCCCTGCAGGGCGCCAAAGGGATCAACAACTTCGTCGGATGCCTGAGGAAGGTGAGTGATTCGTTTGAAGGATAGACGTGATCCACTTTGCGATTTTTATTTTAGTTGACACGAGACGGACACACAGAATTACTCAAAATTCGGGAGACAAGTTAGGGTAGCTTAGCTTCTCGCTGAGAACGTTACGAAAAACAGAGTGTGCTTAACGCATTGACCGGCTATTTTACGCATAGCTCGTGTCGAATATTATTTCGTGGTTAAATTAGATGTGAAGTTCTGTACTCTTTATTTATGCATAATGAATTAAAATGGCACCTTGTTTGTATCTTCTGTATGAAGATACATAATTCTATATTTTAATTTAATGATTTAATTGCAATAATCTGAACAGTCAAGGATTGTTAAATGCAAAATGTGCCTATGATTTTAATCGTCTTTATTCCTTTAAACATTGTGGCAATAATATAACATATTTATGGCCAATATAAAATCATCGGAATTTAAGTTTATTTCATAACAATTTTGGTATTAACAAATATTTTTGATCATATTAACTTTGATTGCTAAAATCATTGTATTATGCTCACACCAACGAAGAAATTAATTTATATCATTGATAGACTTATTTAATTTATTATAAATTTAATAAACTTGTATAATAACATCGTTGCATTTATTTGAAACTCGTGACTGAATAAAGTTCATATATGTGTTCACAAGTACGCGAGATGTCATTTGCAGCACCGCGCCGATGTTCCTAGCGAACACTCTATTGCGCGAAATCATTTGTTGCATAATTAAAATCGTGAACACCTAACCTAACCATTTGTATGGTGTTTGTAATACGCGGTGCATTCAGGTTCGCTCGCACAACGGTAACATGCGGTTTTATCTTTTAATGAAACGAGGCGTCGCTAAACAAAACGACAACTAGCAGACGTTACGAGTTCGTGGTAATGATAACGAATTAAAAATGCACACGGGACGCCATGCTTTTATTACTTTTCGGATTATTTTGCTCGAGTGTCTGACAGTCACGGACATTTTCTGCATGTAACGACATTAGCGTTTCACGAATTCCTCTAACTACCCTTAATTCGGACTTTTAACCTTTTCAAGCAAGGTACTATACGCAACGCGGTACACGTTTTCAGGTTATATCTTTTCTTATGAAACTTCTTTAAAATTTTAATACTGCTATAGGAATATTGACCGCACTGAAACTGTAAATATTTACAAATAGGGAGGATAGGAAAAGTTATACAGTGAAACTCTATTTCAAAAGACTAAATTTTCTGAACTTGTATTTTAAATTATTGGCTAGAAAATTGATTTGGAGATGATAAAATAAAATAGAGATAAAATGAAAACAAAGTGAAGGTAAAATGAAAATAATAAAAATAGTATAAAAATGGAATAAAAATGAAATAAAAATGGTATAAAAATAAAATCAAAGTACAACAAAAATAAAATAAAAATAGAAATAAAAATGTGAATAAAAGTAAAACAAAAAACAGTTACTTTAGTCATAGATTTTCAGTTATGAGGTATATTGTAAAATCAACAAATAATGATAAAATATAATCATTAACAGAGTTGATATAATATGAATTAAAATTGTGTGTTCCAATAATTGACGTACAATAATTTAAGGTTTACTTGACAAATTAAATACAAGATTTTTAAAAAATATGAACGAAGTATTATATTCTTGTCAATTTATCACAGCACTTTAAGAATTAAATACGTATTTAAAGAAATACTATTCAGCATAAAATTTTTACTAATCCTTACTGTAACCTAATATTAATCTGAAACTAGATGTGCAGATGTTTCGAATAGTAGCAAAATTAGTATACAAATAAATTTAAGTAAAAAAATACGTAAATTTTGCATAAATCATGCTTAAGCTTAATTAATATTAATAAACTCTAAATTCTTCACCATATGAAGAATTAAACCTATTATACGTGTTAAATAATTTTGTAACCGTTAAAAAAATAAAACAGATCTTCCGTCGTATATTAAATTCCGCGAACAATTTGCATTTAAACCACCCAAATATTTTGACAAGTTAAGAAAAGATAATAAAGTAACAAACCGCGTTTTCAAGCCAACAGATTAAGGTGGACATTTTAATCATTTTTCATACTGAGTAATTAAATTTGTGCCTTAGAGACTTTCCTCGGGAAAATTGGTATTGCGTGAAGCATAGCTTAATTTTAATTTAAAATGAAGTAAAACTTCCCTGTTCCCTAATTTATAATGTCCCATACATCATTCTTAATTTGTCTCTGAAGTTCGCGTAATATTCGAGCTTACTGTGTCAAGATTCCGCTGGAGCTTATTTTCAGAATTGTTTTAATGCAATTTACTTCCCTCGTGAACTTAATTATTGAACGGAACGAGAAAATTCAGTTGGTTATGATATTCCGAGAACAATTTCTCGAATTTAAACGGAACTTATATTTGTACTTACAATTAGTTTTAATTTAAATCACGGTTAGTTCATATTGTTCTGTAAGAGAAGATACAAGGACGTTATTTGGAAACGTAGAAACTTACAGCTATAGTGGTTTGGATATATATTTAAGACGTAAGTAGAAATGTAGAGATATGGGAATATAGGTATGTAGATTAGTGTAGATATGTAGGAGCATATGTATCTAATGATGTAAGTAGGTATCCAAGAATGTGGATATACAGGGTGTCTCACAATTAGTGTAGGTCCCTGAATTGGGGGGTAGCTGATATGATTCTAAATAAGTTTTCCCTTTGCAAAAATAGGGTTTGAAGCTTCGTTTTTGAATTATTAAGCAAAAGCAGGGATCAATCAGAGCGCGAGGATTACGCATGCGCAGACGCGAGAACGGCAGCTTCGGATAACGCGTAGTTATCCAACACGTGGTAATCCAACGCGTAGTAATGCAACGTGTGGTAATCTAATGCGTGGTAATCCTACGCGTTGGATTACTACGCGTAGTAATACAACGTGTAGTAATACAGCGTGTGGATATCCAACATAATGCGTGGTAATCCTACGCGTAATAATCCTACGCGTAGTAATACAACGTGTAGTAATACAACGTGTGGATATCCAACGCGTAATAATCTAGCGCGTACATATTCAGCGCGTAGTAATTCAACGCGTAATAATGCACGCGTGGAAATTCTAAGCGAAGGAATCTAATGCGTGGTAATGCTACGCATAGTAATCCAACGCGTAGTAATACAACGTGTAGTAATACAGCGTGGGGATATCCAACACGTAATAATCTAGCACGTGCATATTCAACGCGTAGTAATTCAACGCGTTATGATGCACGCGTGGTAATTGTAAGCGAAGGAATCTAATGCGTGGTAATCCTACGCGTAGTAATCCAACGCGTAGTAATACAACGTGTAGTAATACAGCGTGTGGATATCCAACGCGTAGTAATCTAGCGCGTGCATATTCAGCGCGTAGTAATTCAACGTGTAATAATGCACGCGTGGTAATTCTAAGCGAAGGAATATAATGCGCGGTAATCCTACGCGTAGTAATCCAACGCGTAGTAATACAACGTGTAGTAATACAGCGTGTGGATATCCAACGCGTAGTAATCTAGCGCGTGCATATTCAGCGCGTAGTAATTCAACGTATTAATCTAACGCGTAGTAATCTAGCGTGTGAATATCCAACGTGTAGTAATCCAGAGCGTGGATATTCTACGCCTAGTAAGTACATACATATACATATGGATATATAAAAATACACATATATGCATGTACAATTAATAATATGTCCACTTGAATCAAAATAAAATTCATTTAATTCTCAACGTCCTACATAACTTAAAAAATTCATTATAAACTAATATTAAATACAAACTTGTACCTATAAAATACTTTGAACCTTACTTACTCATAATTTAAATTACATAAATTAAAATTTGCAAATTTGAAGTTTGACAAGTGAGACCTTGACGCTTTACAAGGCAAATACTTCGTGGGTCAAGAGGACGTTGATTAATTGTTTTAACGTGTTATTTACTTATTGAAACTTGTAACGTAGATACAAGTCGAACTTAATCTTGGAACTGAAAGGAACGCCATCTCGGGGAGAGTTCGGTCAGATAAAGAGGGTTGTTCGGATAACGAACGGACAAACTGTCCCAGGTGCTGCTTTTAATTCATTAACCCCGTTCCTTTTGTAGCTCTCTACCACGGTCGACGACTTTGAACTACGTCATCGTGGTAATTACTTTAATACGAAAATTACAGCCACTTACGTGTTTGTAGACAGCGTGTGGATTAGTGTGATAGCGTGTATTTGTTCCTTGTACCATGATATGCTTTGTTCCTTTCAATTTACTCCACTCGTAAGTTTCTACTTAGGTTGATCAGTTCTGTACACCTTTGACAACGATTTTGGTGTGGGTAGATGTTTGGAATTTTTTAAAATTTGAAATTTGTACAGTTTCAATTTTATGAATTTTTAAATTTCTCAAATTTTCAAATTACTTTTTTCGAAGTCACTAAATTCTTAGTTTTCTAACTTGAGAAATCACCAGTTTATCACTTTTGCAAATTAGTAAATTGCCAAATCTTCAAAGGTGTGAAATTTTTATTTTTCGAATTTACATTTACCTAAATTTTTATGTTTCCAAATCTATAATTTTGGACATTTTTACAGTTCCAAATTTCTAAATTACCGAATCTCTAAAATTTTGAAATGTTAATTGTCCGAATCCCCAAATCTCTGAATCTCCAAACCCTCAAATGCCCAAATCCCCAATTTTTTAAATTCCCAAGATCTGAAATTCTCAATTTTGCAAATTCCTACATTTCCAATTTTCTAATTTACCAAATTCCTAAAATTTTGAAACCTTAATGATCCAAATTCTAGCATCCCAAAATTCCTAAAGTTCCAAATCCACTAATTCCTAATCCCTCAAATGCCCACATTCTTAAATCCCTAATCTTTTCTATTCCCATATTCTGAAATACCCAATTTCTCCTATTCCTAAATTCTCAAATCCCTAATTTTCCCTATTCCCAAATACTGAAAT